GTTGGGTGGACCGGAGTTTCCGGAATTTTGTATTATTATTATTATCATTTTTGATTATTCTTCTTTCTTTTATTTTTTTTATTGAACGATGGCATTATTCCATTTCTATTGTTCTTATTCTGGGTGACGACCCGCATTTATGGAATTCGTTTGTTTTGTTTTTTTCTCTTCTAAAATCATTGTAGATCAAGTCTCGAGAATATAGACCTACCAGTTAGTCAATAATCTTTCTATTTACTAAATAATATCCTCTCCTCCAAAGATATAGAGTAAATAAATTAAATCAAGCACGAGCACACCGGACCGCAAATAGGTAACGGTGTACATTGCATTGCGTGCGTCTGAATAATGAAGAGTTCTCAGGAAAGTATTGTTTACAAATTATTTCCTTTATTATTGAGGATTATCTCGAGTTTACTGCAGTAACCGGAATAAATATATTTTGAATATTCGAGAGATTAAAGAATTTTCGTCGGTTGGCACTTGTTGTCTCAACACGCACCTTTTCACATTGCCTAATATTTTATAAATACCAGACAATGTCACAAAATATTTATTCGTATCAAATATCGCGTATTTTACAGTATAATAAAAAATGGTCTTGCTCGTGTTGCTAACGACCATTTTGTTAAAATTTTAAAGGAAAATGAATTTTCGATTCTAGTAGATGAAACCATTGGTATTTCGAAGAAAATCCGTTGTGTTCTTGCACATTGTTTCACCCGAAAATAGAAAAGTAAAGACAGAATTATTAGATTTGATTGAATTAGATGCAACTGACGGCTCTACTGAAAAAAATTACATTTATTTTAAAGAATCATTAGATGATAAAGGAATTCCAATAGCAAATATCAAGGGCTTGGCTTCTGATAATGCTATGGTAATGTTGGGTGAAAAGAATTCCTTTGCGAGTAGATTAAAATCAGAAGTATCGAAACTTGTGGTTATGAATTGCATTTATCATTCGTCTGCTATTGTTGCTTCAAAGGCATGTGCAAAATTGTCCAATGCCAAGAGTCAATTAGAGGTGTATCGAGGTATTTTCGCAACAGTGCACAGCGTTGTGCGATTTTACAAGAATATCAAACTTTTTTTGAACAAGAACAATTAAAAATTTTGAGTTTATCGAACACAACATGGTTATGTCTTCAACAATGTGTCACGCGTATTCTATGTAATTGGGATGCTTTAAAATTACTTTTCCAGAGAGTTGTGTTAGAAGAAAATGATACTGCCGTGAAGATAATTTTCGAGTCCATGAGTAATGATTGTACAAAAGCTTACATTCTTTTTTTTATCGTTATTTTACATCGCTCCGACCCGGTTAGGGTATACTGCGATGATGATCAAGACTTGAAATGGTTATTAGATTGCACCATTCTACCCGGCCGGGATTTGAACTCGGAACCTTTCGCATGTGAGGCAACGAACTTACCCACTGCGCCAAGCCACCGGGTTGCTTTTTTTTTCTTTTTTTGAAATATTCTTCAAATTTTTTCGATCAATTTAATGCTCTTTCCATCACGTAAAGTGATGCTTCATAAATTGGCTAAAAACGATGAACAATTAATTCGTACTTTTGCACGAAATTTTCTGAAAAGAAAAATAGTTTACGATCTTTTCACAACTTCAATTAATGTTGATTGACGCCCGATGGCCTGGCGCAGTGGTTAAGGTCATTGCCTCACGTGCGCAAGGTTCCGAGTTCAAATCCCGGTCGGGTAGAATGGTGAAATCTAACCATTTCAAGTCTTGATCATCAGCGCCATATACTCAATCGAGACGAAGCGATGTAAAATCAGAATAAAAAAAAATAATGTTGATCATCTCTATCACCACTTGAAGCTGGATGATATTTGCCTTGGTCCAAAATGCACTTGAACTCGTCATTACTTTTCCTGCACATATTGCTGAAGATTTTCGTAAACGTTTACAATTCTATATTGTCGCGATGGTTGAGATGAGGAAATAGTTACTATACAACCATAAAAATCATTAAGAATTTGAAATTTCTGAATCCGCAAGCCGCACTAGATGACAGTAAGCAGTGAATTCCCTCTTCGGTCATTTTTTAACTTGCTTTGGATTTTGATAATTTTGATGAAACCGAATTAGCATTAGAATGGCATCAATTGCCCGATTCATTTCTAACCTTCCGTAGCGAAAACGTGCTTTCTCAGCCCGTGGATGATTTTTGGAGTGATGTTTCCAACTTGAAAGATTTTTCTGATCAATTGATGTTTCCTAATTGAAACAAATTTACAACAAGCGTTCTTTGTTTGCCTCATCCAATGCTGAAGCGGAACGTATCTTTTCAATCGTAAAAGATATTAAAATTAAGAAGCATAATAAACTCAGTACTGAATGTGGAATGCCATTTGTCAGCTACGATCCTCTAATCAGTGTCATAATGTTAATTGTAGAACTTCCCAAGTGCAGATAAGTCATCTTGAGTTGCATAATTCGAAGTGAATTTCACTGAATTAGCCTGTTCTTCCCAACATTTTTTCGTTAATATTCATGTTTAGATAACCTTCAGTTCGACAAGGAACGTGGAGAGAGAATTCAAATGATTTATTTCTAGTAGTAAGTTTTTGTAGTATTTCTAGTGTAAGCTTTTGAGGCGCCACCATCACTTTTTCATTTTGTATATTAATTATCAACATCTAATGATTTTTCGATCAACTAATATCGTTTAGCTTTGTTTCAGAATAGATAAGGCATTTTTAATTCTTGAAATAATTCTTTTTTTGTTGTAGCTCTTTTTCAGCTGAGGAAAGGGGTTGTTTTCACCCCCGGTTGGCCCTTTTCAAGGCCCCAAATGGTTCAAACGTAGAAAATTCAATGAAGGTATTATTAGTCCTACTATCTCCCTGCAACTATTCGCTACAAGATTTTACGCACAACATCGTTTGAATTTCAAACAGAATGACGCTTGTGGCGGGTTCCCCTTCTCCGTGACAATGAGAGGCGACTTCCTCATCCACAATCCATTTAATTTTGAACTTTTCCTGAGAGCGCCAACCCATATCACTTTTCAAATTTTGGAAAAAAAATTCGAACCAAAAATGTTTAGTTTGGAAAGAAATTTTTTTTTGTTACAACACGGGGGGTTCAGCAGCGAAATGTTTGACTCTCGTGAAATTAGACCATCCATTTGTGACCATTGTGACCCTTGTGAAATTGGACTATCCCCTTGTGACTCTCGTGACGTTTGACTCTCGTAAAATTTGCCCATCTTTTTGTGACCCTTGTGACTCTTGTCATATTTGACTATTCCCTTATGACCCTCGTGACATTTGACTCCTGTGAAATTTGATCATCCTTTTGTAAGCATTGCCAACTTTGACTATCCCCTTGTGACCCTCGTGACATGACTCTCGTGAAATATGACCACCCCCTTATGACCCATGTGACGTTTGACTCTCGTGAAATTTGACCATCCTTTTGTGACCCTCTTGAAATTTGACTACCCCTTGTAACCCTTGAGACGTTAAACCCCTCCGAAATTTGACCCTTGTGACAAGTAACCTTTGCTCTATCGATCACGTGAAATCCGATCATTATATCGTCTAACACTTATTCCTTCCCAATGGATACTGAAGCAAGTGGAATAATAAGTCATGCCGTTGGCGATCGAATTCCAACGATTTAAACATAGCGCCAGCCGTTCCGCGCCCTAACGGCTGCACAGTGGTACTCGAGCGAGGAGTGCGGACCTGTAGGATTCGCATCTAGCATCACTGGCAGTTAGTATAGAGATCAGTGGGCCGAGCGCACCGTGTATCTATACAAGACAGAACCTCCCCTTCCACTACCTCTAAATGATTGACATTCGGTATAATAAACACGGGACGATAAATCAGAAAATTGTCCTTAGTTACATTATATAAAACGCGTATGAACTTTTCAACTATGTAACTATTGTATTTTTTGGGTTAACAGTAAAAAAGATACGCGCATAGCAACAGGCTGATATTCACATTCTCGCGATTCACATTATAAAGTGTGAGAATTAAGTTACAACGTTGGCAGCGCCTGTCAAACTGAGCCTCACATCTGACGTCGAAGTGCTGCCACCAGTGCATTTAAATGTGGGTTGTAATGTTCTGGAGAACTATGGGAAATATTTTATTCTCATCTCAAATTACTTATTAGAATAAACCGAAAAATTAATTCAGTGTGGTATTTTTTTTCTTTGTTTGAATTTCTTATATATATATATATATATATATATATATATATAATAATGAATGGAAAAAAAAATATTGAATCTGACAGGAAAAAGGGCATAATGAAAGGGACATTAACACCCCGGCTGCAAGCAGCGCTAGTAGTACCATAAGAGTTACAATCGTTCTAAATTTTAGCTTTCTAGTTTAATTTTTTCGAGAGTTATCATGCCTACACCGCTTTTATAAAAAAATAATAATACTGATTACTACCAAGTTATCCCTGGTTAATTAGAAATATTAAAACTCAGTTTGATAGATATTATCATAAGGAATTTTTTGACGTCAAAAAAATTCCATTCATTCGCGCACTTTTTGAGATATTGAGAAAAAATTTCGAGAAATTGCTATATCTCAAAAACTACTCGACCGATTAAGCTGAAATTTTGCCAAGATGTGCTACCAAACAATGCCAATTATTTCAGAAAATTTCAGATTCTTGGTTACGACTTTACTCCTTTTTGCTTCCGAATGGAAGCATTGTTTACACACATTTTTTCTACAAACGTTCCATTTTGATGTTTTATAATATTCTACATCATTTCCAAGCGAAATTAGAAGAACGTAAAAATGGACGATTACAAAGCTTCCATCCAGAAGCAAAAATACGGCAATATTTGATGGAATGGCCCATATACCTAATATAGTACATGATGTATATGGAATACCTCATATATTTTGAGAAAGAAATTGACTTTTCATGAGTGCTTCATTCTGCGAAGATGGTACGCTTATTTTTTTTTCCTTAGTAATCAATGAGTGACTTACCTCTCTTCGCGGCCAGCTAGACAAGACCTTATACTCTGCCGTAGGATATCCTTCAACAATAAGAACATTAAGGAGTGTCTGCAGTGGTGTGTCTGGGCGGAACCTACGCTCCAGAAACTTCCCTCCTGGTAGCCTGACTTTAACTTTCAACACTCCAACGGACGAATCAGCATCGGGTTCAGGTGGTAAACTTGATTCTACCGCAAGTCTATGAGCCTCTTTCCTTGCCTCCTCAGCCAACCTCTCATTTTCGGCTTGTTCCTTCTGTTGCTTCTCCAGCCGTTGCTGAAGCTGTTTAGCCTCCTCCTTAGCTCTATCTGCAGCCAAACTCTCCTGATATGCTTTATCCTGCTCTTGCTTAACCCTCTCTCGTGCTTGTCTTTCCTCCTCCGCTCCAATATCCGCATTTTTTTGCTCCTGAAATACATCTACTGCATGAATCAAGTTGATCAGCAATTCATTAACTCCAACATTGCCATTGACAATGGTAAAAATTTCTGTTGTTGATCTTGATCTCATTAGAATCATCAGAACAGGTAATGTATCAATATCGATATTCCTTACTGCCTCAGAGCCAACCATGCCCAACGACTGCGTAACAGAGTGGAAAAATTTTTGCATATTACTGTCGTAAGTAAAATCCCACCCCCACACAACAAAATTTGCTGATAAGAGTTGTAAGACAGTCTCACAACCCAATAGTTGTGTACAAAAAACGTTAGTCAATACACTGTTATCGTGATGCAAATAAACGGCTAGGAGTTTACGATCCTTAGCAGGTTTTAGACATGACTCTTTGATAGCCTCATCGAAAGTTCCAGTAAAAAATTTTGGGTGAGCAGAACCATAACGTTTCTCAAATTGGTCTGCAAAGTGCAGCGTCCCCATTGTCTCGTCCTCAACATTGTCGGGCATTAGACGGAGGAATTTAGCTGGACTAATATTATCAACGAACAGATCGTCCTCAATGATGAAAGACTCTGGGGCGTCTTCAAACTCATCGGCATCCTCATTATCCTCAGCAGAACTATCGCTGTCCACCAGATCAACAACTTCCTTTGGTTTTTCTTCATTAAGGATTTTTGAAACAGTTAGATCGTGCTCTGGAAATGATATTCCGCTTTGTGCCAGATTTATGTTGTCGTCCTTAACAGTACTCGGCCAGCCTTTCCATTGTTGATATCTCACTGGTAGATCTATCAGAGCGTAAACACCGGCTTTGACATCTAGAACTGAGGCTGTACCAGGATATTTTAAGTTGTACGTCTTGTTGTATACCTCGTCTTTTACGTTCAGTATGTATGTCTGTGAGAGACGATCTGATAGTGCTATCCTAAAAATATTCGAAGAAATTGGTCGGTTTCTTCTTTGTACTTAACGTAGATAAAGTGAGGAATTGGTAAAATAAGATAAGTTTTTCATCAACATGGTCGAATTTCCGTGACCTTTGCGTAACTTCTCGAAGTAAGTAGCTACATAGATGGTTTTTAAAATAGCTTTAAGGATTTCGAGGTGCTGTGGTTAAAATACCATTGTGAAATGAATGCACCTTGGTCTGCAACTATACGACTACATAAATAATAAACTCTTACAGAATTGAAGAGGAAATTGGACTTACGCTTCTGAATTAGAATCTCCGAGTTTCACAACTGGATTGAGCAATAATGTATTCTCGAGAGGTAACTTCAAACTTTGGAGCTTTGTATTATTTGCCTTTGGCTCCTCTTTCTTCCATCCCTCGAGTTCTTGTTGACAAGGAGTTACATTTGTTTTACCAAAAATAGAATCCTTCAGATCACCTGTAAAAATCGAATTAAATACCAAGAAAAAAACGATGGATGATTTCAAGCAGAATATTTAACCTTCTTAGGTGAAATCGTATAATTCTATTACCAGAAAGGGATTCGCAGAGTATATCCACACTCTACTGAATCACCACTCGTGCTCATGTCCCCACCACTCAAATCGACGATCTCTAGTAATAAGCTCTACGGTCAGACAGCAGATTGTGCCTTTGGTTTTCAGAGGTGGAAGACAAGGATGTGAGTGGGGATTGAGTAAAGTGGGGGTAACTCTGAGGGGCATAATCTCCTCAATTCTACTGTATGGTAAAGCGTAGTAGTCACTCTAATGGGCATATAGTGAGAATATGAAATTCACCTTAGAAGTGTTAAACTGATTGTGAAGTGGTAAAATGATATAAGTCAACTACACTTCGAGATCAATTTGTGGAGTACAGGGCACATTTCACCAATTATCGACACGATTCGGTTTAAAAATTTCCGTCATCCCCAACATTTCACCTCTCAACACGGGGGTAGAACGAAGTTTTGTTCTAAATTTTTAGACCTTAAACGCAAAAGGGGATATGTGAACTCGATTCTATTCTACAATTTACTTTCATCTACACTTTTCATGCAAAAAAAAGTGAAAACACATTTTTTGCGTAAAAAATGCAGAAACTTGTAAAACAAGTGATTGGTAGCCTGCAACCAAACTACAGTTTTAGGTAGCGGTACATCAATATTTCTTTCGTCGTCAATACCTTGATGACGGGCTTGCAAAGGATTTCGTTTCGGTTGTCTCTGTTAATACATATTATCAATTAGAAAACCAGAGCCACCGAACTACTTTGAAAAATTAACAAGAAATTGCTTCATAAAAATTTCTAAAAAATTTGAAAATAGCAATATGTCGAGAAAATTATACCTACAGATATCCATATATTAATTTATTGAGATAGAAAACAACAAGCTGACTATTTTGTAGACAAAATTTGAAATCGATCGAGTAGTTCTTTAGATATTGAATAACATAGGTTTACGTACAAAATTAAACATCCAATTAAAGGGAGACTACTATGAGTTTTAAAAGTCGCGGGCTATTGGAATGCATTTCTTCATATATTGGAGATTCACTACATGTCTAAAAATGAATAATTAGTGCAAAAAAGAAGATCACCAATGTAGTTCATTATTGAGTACATTTTAACCTAATTTTGTTTTAAACCGTTGAACTTTGAGTTAGGAATATTGAGGATTGTTTTGAGAAGTGGAATGTGGATGAATCGCGTCTGAAACGAAGCAGGCAAGCTTCTTCCATTTCTGGGATTGCAGAATCGGAGTATTCGCGACGAATTTGATTCTCTGGAGGAATTAGCCCGAGTTGTCAGAGGGAATTTGCGGGCAGGTGAAGTAGGTCTACACTCAACTGCGGAATCTTTTGCGAAAGTCACAGAATCGCAAAGGTTTCATCGCGGAGTTACGATGCGAAGAGCCTTAAATTTTGGTAGTAGGAACCGTGCTTCAGTTCCGTAGCCAAAAGGATCGACCGACGCTCTCGTAGTGTGGGTGACCTGGTGGCGGATAATCCACTGCAACAGCAGTGCCTGCAGGAGAAAGATGGGCAGCAAGGTGGGGGTGGTGTACCTCAGCAAGATCGTGAGGATCTTAATCAGCCAGTCTCACCTGGAGCAGGTGGCATATTCCAAAGGGAGGAGTTTAGCACACCTATGTCGACTCCGATCTCGATACCGGGTGGGTCACTTTTCCTAGGTAATTCCGCTCCATCGCTGTGAGGGCAGGGTGTGGTGCCAAAGCCGGATGTCTCTAGTATTCCAAATATTGACACTCAGGGGATTGTCCGGGGAAATCGGACGGAACTACTAGTGGCTGAGATGTTAAAAATATTGGACAATGCGAACGAGAAATTGAAAGAGGAAACTCAGGAGCGGAAACGGTTGGAGAACGAGCTACAGAGGCTTTGACGGAGGTGTATCGCAATCGTGGTACTACTGGGGTAAATAATTGGGTAAATGATCCACCTAATAATCATCTCATCACTAGTAATGATCATGCCCGGAGGGGGCTTATAGACCTGAAGGGTGCTCTACAGTTGGTACATTCATTTAACGGCGAGAATGCCGATGAATTAATAACTTTTTTGGGGTCGTGTGAAAGTGCAAAGGACTTATTACAGCCTGAGCTTCATTCTACACTTCTCAAAACTATTCTGAAAAATAAATTGACTGGCAAAGCATTTGTACAACTGAAGCATAAAATAATAGAGAGTTTTGAAGAATTTACAGTGGACTTAGAGGCATTATTCGGTAAAACGAAATCACTCGTAGGATTGCATACAGACTTCAATAACATGCAACAACGGAATGATGAAAGTGTTAGCACATTCGCAGCCAGAGCTGAACGAGTAACTCTTCATTTAATCGAAGAAATACAAAACCTCTTAGCTAGAGATTTGGACGAAAAAGAGAAGAGTGGAGCCAGAAAAGTCCTTTTGACTTTGGCTAATTTCGAGTAAGGATTGCGTGGTCAAATTCAAATTTTGGTCAGAGCAAATAACTATAAGATATTACATGAAGCGTGTCTAGGGGCAGTTGAGTTGGAGAAAACTGTCAGGGTTTCATGGAGCCTCCAAGGGAAATTGTGGAGGAAACTCTGAAGGATTTGCTGTCGGTTCCAGGCATTCTCAGGGGGGAAATCGTCATTCAGGAGGACGACAATTCCTGGGGGCGGGTGGTTTTGCTTGTGGCCAGGCAAAACATCAGGCGAAGGATTGCAAGACGCAGGAGAAAACCAGTTTATCTGTTCCAGAGCGACGCAGTATCAACGCATATGGGATGGTGTGCAAATTTTGTCATATTCCGCGGCATGACATAACATCGTGTTATAAATTGAAGAAACAATGTGGAATCCCCGAAAATGCGGAGCTGCAGGTAAAAGAGAAAAATCATGACGCAAAGCAGGTCAACAAAAGTGCTGACAGTACCCCAAAAAAAGAATAACAAAAATAAAGCCTCATCGAATGCGGACCCTACACTGCCAATGGGGGCATTCCAATTGGCGATGATGCAAATTAATAAACTTTAGAATAACGATAATAATGAATAATTCCACTCTCAGAAGACGTAGGATGACATCTGCAGAGCCTTCCAAGATGAAGAATCATCTAATTTTGTCGGCTGATGAGCTTAAATAGGCGATGTTCCTGGCAGAGTTTGGGGCTGCTATATCAGTGATAAAAACTGAAAGAGGGTTAAATAAAATAACTAAAGATCATAAAATTGAAAATTAAAAACCCCCGACGAAAAAGTTGTCAATTAACTTATTTAAAAACTGAAAAACAGAAAAATTAAAAATGAAAAACCCCTGATGAAAAAGTTATCCTTGAGTAGTTTAAAAAGAGGAAAATAAAAACTCAAAATTTTAATTAGACGAATTTTAGAGAAACTGAAATTTCTTTTGTAACAGAAGAAACAGCACAAAAAAGTCGGGGGGGGACACCAACATTTTCGTGACTCTATGTGTCCCCCGATTTTTATCTGCTGTTCCTTCTGTTACAAAAGAAATTTCAGTTTCTCTAAAATTCGTCTAATTAAAATTTTGAGTTTTTATTTTCCTCTTTTTAAACTACTCAAGGATAACTTTTTCATCAGGGGTTTTTAATTTTCAATTTTATGATCTTTAGTTATTTTATTTAACCCTCGTTCAGTTTTTAAATAAGTCAATTGAAACCTTTTCTGTCGAGGATTTTTAATTTTTCAAGTTTTCTGTTTTTAAGTGAGTTCTAAATAATTGACAACTTTTTCGTTGGGAGTTTCCAATTTTCTAGTTTTCAGTTTTTTTACCCTTTCCTGCATAATTTAATCCTTTGATTACTCTAAAGGTGATTATCCTCAATTTGAATCTTTCACGCGCAGAATCATAAGTATGAACGAAATTTCATTGCTACCAATCCATTTTCGTTTTTGCTTGCTAGGGAATTACGGTTCAATCTAGTCACCTTCATCGAATCATTTTTTTCTGTGCACTTTTTAGAAAAACGGAGTAATTAATCAGCAAAAGGGCTTCGTAGTTCGATTCCTCGGAGTGTTTTCATCATTTGTAATACAAAAATTAATTTTTTCGAATCGTTTTTCATGTAGTTTCGTCTGGACGACGCCGTTACAGAGTTAGGTTACCGAGTGTCAAAAGCATATATCCCTCCCTTTGGTTTGACGTCGGGGGTAAAAATATACACGCAAAGAAAAATGCTATTAAGTGGCCATGTAACTCAAACGGCAGTTACCATCGAAGTCGAAAATTTCGATTCAATTTTTTTTGGGGTGGAACCATCATTTTTGAAAAATTAAATTCTTAGGCCCTTCATTCCATGATTATGAAGGGCCTAAGAATTCAATTTTTTTCAGAAATGATGTCCCCCCCCCCCTTAAAAAAAATGGATCGAAATTTTCGACTCGGGTGATAACTGCCGTCTAAGTTACATGGCCATTTAATTAGGGCGATTGTCGTCCAATTCACGAACTAATGGCGCCACGTGGCTAAGCACTTTTCAATGGATTAGACAAGGAGAGCATGCATCTAGCCAACTTTGCTCAATGCATTTCGCAAATGGAGTGTATAACCATCTGCTGCCATCTGTTGCCGCTTTCCGCGAATGCCCTAATAATTGATAATTTATTATGGATTAAGGTCCATATATGTAGCAGATGTTAATTAGAAAATGGATAATCAACCTTTCTAATCGTTAGGAAAACATTTGGAGTTATTTGGTAAATAGTTTTCGATATTTTGAAACCCAAATATTAATTAATATTGATTAATTAAAAATTGGCCGTACGATTGGCAGAAATGTCCAAAATTTCGTTCTTGACATTGTCAGTCAGCGCAAAATTATTTGAATAATCGATGGTTCGTATACCAATGTTTGGAAAAATTCATTCAATTAAATATCAATAATTTATTAATGAACATTGGCTTATGAACCAATCGATTATCTAAAT